CTGCCCCGTGCCCCGCCTCGCCCTGCAGCCTGGCCGGCGGGAGGGATGCGCCGTGCCGCCCTGCTCCCCTCCGCCCGGCCCGTGCCCTGAAGCAGAAAGTTTGGGGGACCCCCCTCCAGTGACTGCCCAAGGACTCCTGCTGCCCAGCCTCGATGGTAACCTGCCTTCGCTCCCCAGGTCGGAATGAATGATTCCGAGGCACCCCCTCCTCGCCCCCCCTCGTCCGCCTTTAAGAAAAACAATTGTGATTATTTTTGATTCAAGAAATCGTGGTCTGCCCCCGCCCCGCTCCTTGTTAAGAGTCGAAGACCCCAGGCCTCATTTCTGAGTGGAAGGAGGGGTGCGATCTCCCCCCAAGACAGCGCGCTAGAAGGACAGATTCCCCTTGCCGACCCACATACACCATGCAAAGGTGCAAATCGGACGAGCTGCAGTCGCCGCGGGGCGAGGAGGATGGAGCGGGGCCGGACGAGGCGGGCGGACACCTGCCGGGCGCCGACCCCCGGCCCGGGGAGGCCTCGGGCGCCAACTCCGCGGGCGGCCCAACTTCAGAGGCCGCCCCTGCGGCGCCACCCAACCCGGGTCCCCGAAGCAAACCTCCCGATTTAAAGGTGAGCGAAGACCTCCCCCCCCCGCCCCGCGCGCAAGCCCAGCCCACCCTCCCCCCACGCACAAGTGTTTTGACAGTGGGGGGGGAGTGATGGGGGAGGGGGGAGGACAGGAAGCCAGGCCAAGGTAGGAGTCGGTGGATGTGTGGCTAGAACCAGAGAAGGGAAGTCAGGTGCGGTCTGTGACTGTCAGCTCCGCTTCGGGCCTCTTTGTTTGTACCCCGTTAATCGCAGACGTTCTAGTGACTTACCCATCTGAGATAGTTCGAATAACATGTGCGAAGTGTGTTATTCCCAAGACAAAGGGAATGGAGGAATCCAAGATGTTAACTAAAAAAAAAGAAAGTTGACATTCTACTGTCTGTCTGTCAGATAGCAGAAGGAGCACAATTATCACCTGGAAAAGACCATACAGGCAACCATTTAGTTTCCTTTTTTTTTTTAACCAGTTAATCTCCTCTCATTATGAATTTTGGCTATCTTTCTAGAGGAAGCTCAGTTTGTCCATCTGTGAAAGGGGTGTGTGTGTGGATTTCTTGCCGTTAGGTGGAGCCAGAGGTTAAGCTAGTGCTTGGAGATCCCAGTCCGCCCATTGAACCAACCCCCAGGGTGGAGAACTGACAGGTGGCCGAGCAGTGCCAGGGCTGGTTGGGGCCTCGATTCAAGTTGCACACACGCTGAGCCGGCAGCGAGCACCAGAATGCAGACAGCCTCTGTTCACATGGAGCTGTTGATTTTCCAGCCTTATGTCCTAGAGATAATCGGCGAGCTGTGTTCAGTGTAGCTCTAAGTCGGTTAAAACAGCCGCCCGGGTAGATAATGCCCCTTTACTGGAACTGTCACCAGGACTGCCGGCTTAGACATTCTCCAGCCAGCTCATGATGGGACTGATCGAGATGTCAGCACAAAGAAGGAACTTAGGCACCTTGGAGATTGATACCTCAGGAGGATTTTCTCCGGAGAGGGTGCAGGGTCTGGGTTAGGGGAGTGGAAAGGACTCCTGTTAGGTTAAATTAAGCGGTATCCTGTGGCAGCCGGCACTAAGGAGCTCAGCAGAGTAAGCCAATGACATTCTTCATTTGGCCTGTGGGGCTCCCAGTCCCGAAGTCAGAGTGCAGGTGAGTGTGTGCGCTTTTACCTGGGTCTGTTCACTGTCAGGTATTCCTGTGGTTGGGGGGGGGATGGGGGGAGAGGGAGGAGAAGGGAACAACGTGACTCATTGTGTTGTATGCACTTTTAAAGATTTGTGTTAATTATAATTATTCACATCTGATCTCTGGGTCTGCCACTGCCCTTTTTGGAGATTTGTGGCCAGCCTTATGTCTTAGGATGGGCTTTGTTGGAGAGGTTCTGTGCACAAATCTTAGGATTTTATTGCTCAAGAAGTCCCTAGCGTCCATCCCAAATGTCATCCTCCAACTCTACACCTTGTGGCCAGGAGGGGTTTCCTGTTTTAAGTGAGATAGTGGAAGAAAAGGGGTCTCATCTAATTTGTTGGGAGAGAGGAGAAGGAAAATACTCAGTTACAGACTTCAGCCTCATTTTAGGCAGTTCCAGAGGAATCTGGCCAGTAAACTCTCATTTTTGGATCAGATGGGATCCTTACCCTGAGCCCTTGAGAGGCAGCCTTGGAAACTGCCCCACTTACCAGTTCTGGCCCAAGTGGAGACTAGCAGCTTCATTCATTTCCCCCAGATGCCTTCCAGAGGGAAAGTGGGATGGTTGTGGTGTGGGGGTTGCAGTGTCTGTTCCTGTAGATAAAGCTGCCTTAAGCTCATGTTTCTGTCTTTCTATGTCATCTTTCTCTCTTTTTTTTTGGTGACACCTCCATTCTGGTCAGGGACAGATAGAGTGACAACTCTATACTTGATATTAACTGCTGAACTTCCCTGAATCAGAATTGAGATCAGGTATGAGAGAAGAACTGTTCTGTACTCCACCTTCCCACACCTACCCCTGAAAAAATAACCACCACAGAGGTGGAGCCAGGCTAGTGGCAAGAAGGGGAAAACAGCTGCTGTTTGCTGATGGGAGCACAGGGAGACACACAGCTTTTTCTTGTTTGTCTCTGTCAGCTTCATCACATGTTTATTACAGGGCATAGACTTCCAACCAGATAGGCCTTGGGATCTCACACAAATCACTCAACTCTTTTGAGCAAAAGAACAAGGAATATTGGAGTGTGTCCAGACTTGTTTTCCAGTGTTGGAAAAGTTGTTTTCCAAGGCTGACACAGTTTTCTAGTGGTGGAAGAATCCTCTCATTGGCTCTGGAATTTGGGGAGGAGCTGACTTGTTCTAGATTTGATGGTGGTACCCAAAAGGGACAAGTTTAATTTTTTTTTTTGAAAAGGTGATGAGCGTGGGGTGGGGTGGGGGGTGGGGGTGTGTGTTATAGTTACATAAGTAAGGCAATGAGTGCATTTGTTTCTACTCATTGTTACTCCATCCCTCATCATCTCCCACTTACTCCTCCCTTTCCCCCTCCCTCCTAGTTGTAATGTTCATATCCAACATAGTTCAAGTGAGTATCAATGTTGCTTTGGCTCATCCATTGTCCTGCTGTTTGACAAGTTTCATTTTTAATACCCTCTGCTCACACCTGTGCATAGTTGAGGCTGATGAGCACTTCTGGTTTGCTTTTGTTTTCTGTTTGAACATTGCAGATAGGAAGTTTTTGGTACCTCAGCCCCACTTCTATTCTCCTGTAATGGCTCTGAGCATTGTGATGGATTAAGCCCAGTGGAGGAAGTCATTTAGAAAAAGGGCCAAAAAACATACGAGGCTCTGTGTAAAGCACCTCTATGGTAGGAAAAAATTTTAGTCTTTGCTCAAAAGTGCTGTATGATGCTTAACTCATTACAGCCAGTAGTTGTCATAGAACTACAGGACTCCAGTGATCTCCATTTGGTCCTTCAGCACTAGAACATCTACTGTGTGTAGATTTGTCTGTGTGTGTGTGTGCGTGTGTGCACACGCATGTGTCTGAGGATTGCATCCAGGGCCTGGAGCATGTTTAGGAAGCCCTTTACCACTGAGTTGCAATGCTAGTCCTGCACATTTCTTCTTTGGTAGCCTGGGATCTGGATGATGGAATGATAAGGGCCACTGAAAATGAAGAACAATAGTTAAATAGCAATTTTCACTGTATGTCCCACAGAGAGGAGGTATATGCAAATACTTTGGGGATCTTTTCTGTAGTCCACACACTAGTGTGTCCTCCTGGGAGATCTCAGCAGACAGTGCTGCACAGGAGCCCCACAAGTCAGTCACTTATTCAGCCACTTGCAGCACAGATCCTTGTCTGACCACTTGAGTTCCTGTCTGGATTCATTTGTGTTCACTATAGAGTCCTTTGCTGCAACCAGATTCCCTCCTTACTGGGGTGGGATACTGGAATGACAGGCTGGCCAAAAAAAGTACGGTGGAATCTTCCAGAAAGGAGACTCAGCTCCAGGGAGAAGGGAGTAGGGAGGAACCATGGGGAACTCTACAGAAAGAGGTCCTGTTAAAAATAAGGCATGTGGCAGAGAATGTGGCTTAGTGGTAGAGTGCTTGCCTAGCATGCATGAAATCCTGGGTTCGATTCCTCAGTACCACATAAACAGAAAAAGCAGGAAGTAGCACTGTGGCTGAAGTGGTAGAATGCTAGCCTTGAGCACAGAGAGGCTCAAAGACAATGCCCAGGCCCTGAAATCAAGCTCCAGGACTGGCAAAAACAAAACAAAAACCCCAAACAACAACAAAAACAGCAAGTGAGTTGGGCGTCAGTGGCTCACACCTGTAATCCTAGCTACTCAGGAGGCTGAGATCTGAAGATTGTGATTCAGAGCCAGCCCTGGAAAGTCTATGAGACTTTTATCTCTAACCACCAAAAAGCTGGAAGTGGAGTTCCAATGGTAGAGCTCCATCCTCGAGCAAAAAAGCTAAGGGTCAGCACCCAGATCTGGAGTTCAAGCACCAGTATGGGCACCTCCTAAAAAAGTAAATTAAAAAGAAAAACATCACACGGTAGAAGCCTAAAGTAAGGGAGATAATTTCCCACCTCTCCCCATCCATGTACAGCTGGAGGAACAGCATTTCTGCAAGGGAGGGTCTGGGGGTTGCTGGTCACCCCCCCTCCAAGTTCTCTTTCATAAAAACTCCTTGAATTTTTTGAGTGCTGTTAGTATTTACTCTGAAGAAAAAGGGGCAGCTCCATTCCACATTGTTTCCATCTTGCTTCTAAGTGCTTTTGACTCAAGACTGTCTGGGTTCCAGCCTTGTACTTCTGCTCATACCATGTACTGGTCTTCCAGCCTGCTGAATGAAGACCAGGTAAAGCACTTAGAAGCCAAGAGGTGAGAGGAGAGTTACAGCTGAATCCTTGGTGGTCCTCTTTACTGGAAGCTGCAAGTACCTCAGCCACACTCCAAAAGCCTGTGTTCCTCAGCACTCCTTAGAGAGCTCACTGAGAGAGGACTCGGGAGGCCAGCAGATATTAGAGACCTTCCACAGGAAGGCACTGTTTAAATAGTGAAATAGGATGTGCATAGAGATGTTCCTGAAAACTCAGATACACATGCAGTTTAAATAACAAAAGCAAAAATGGAAACCTCATCACTACCCAAGAAAGCAAAACAACATTGATATCCATAAAAAGCCTGTGTTTATTTTTTCTGTGGGTTTGTTGTACTTACTTTTTTTTTCTTAGTACTGATGCTGAGAGCCACTAACTTCCCAACTCTTTCTTTTACATTTATTTGTTTGTTTTGCTGGTCATGGGGTTTGAACTTGGGGCCTGGGTACTGTCCCTGAGCTTTTCTGCTCAAGGCTAGCACTTTACCACTTTGAGCCACAGCACCACTTTCGGTTTTCTGGTAGTTAATTGGAGATAAGAGTCTCACAGCAGTGGCACTGTGGTTCAAAGTGGTAGAGCACTAGACTTGAGCAAAATTGCTCAGGGACAGTGCCCAGGCCCTGAGTTCAAGCCCCACGTCAACCAAAAAAGGTCTAGTGGCAAGG